CAGTTCCCAGCACCCACATCAGGCAGCACACAACCACCTGCAACTCTGGGGGATCCAACACCCTCTTCTGGCTTCCATGGCCACTGCACACACAGCGGGTACTGTGCACACTGGTATGTGCACAGACAAGCAGGCAAATATTCATGTATATCAATAAAAATACATTAAATTTTTACTTTGGAGTCTTCCTGGTACACACAGGACGGGGAGGGACAGGTGAACTTGTGACTTCTTGCTTTCTTTGTGATTTATGCTGTTGCTGAGCCTACAGATAGCTCCAGATGGAGCTTAGCTCTAAATACAGAAGTAAGTCATAAATGAGTAAAACTTCCAAAAGATAACATAGGGCAGTGTCTTCTAGACTTTATCAAGACAAACTACTTTCTGTATCCAATTTAAGAAATTCACCTCTCAAAGTCTGATTAAGTAGACTTCGTTTTAGTGGGAGACTACCATTAACCCAAAGATACCACTAACACTCAAAAGGGAAGCCACAGCATCTGAGGACATCTCTGACCAATGCTCAGGCAACACAGTGAGAAATGGCCAAGAGTCACAAGCACACTATGTGAGTGAGGACGTCCTCAAAGCCAAGGGGCATCTGAATCAGCAAGATATCCCCACACACCTCCAGGACAGCTAAAGAAACAAACAAACCCAGCAACCGGTGTAACCGCTGAGGGCAGATCAAACCAAGTCCACAGCTGAGGGGATACGCAGGAGGAAAGCACCAGGAAGAGGACTGAACCAACCCCTCTGCCTCAGGCCCAGAAGCAGCACCACGGTGGCACAAGTCACTGAAAAAACGCTCATGACAGCACTGAGGAGCTCCAGGGCTGGAGAGACGGCTCAGCGGTGAAGAGCACCAGCTGCCCTTACAGAGGACCTGGGTTTGATTCCCAGCATGCACAGGGCAGCTCACAACCAGCTGTAACTCCAGTTCCAGGGGAGCTGACGTCCTCTTCTGGCTTGCATGGGCATCGCATGACACAGATGTACTTTTATGCATGCAAGCAAAACACTCATACACATAAAGTAAAAATAAATTAAAAATATTAAAAGAGTCAAAAGGTGGGAACAACCCAGACATCTGTGTGATGGGTGAACAGTGAATCTCTAGGGGCTTCTGCACAGCAAGGGGGAGGGAGAACCCACTGCTCCCAACAGAGCTGGGTGGACCCAAGGCAAGACGTCGAGGAAGAGAGGTTAACTCAGGACACGACAAGATCCCACTGACACGCAAAACAATGAATCAAACTCACCTAGGGACAGACTGAGAAGGGTGGTTGGGGGCGGCTGATGATGGGGGCAGGCTCAGAGACAGGGAAGCATCTGCACAATGCTCCACAGCGATCTCTGGGTAGGAGGAGGCTACAGATGGGTTCACTTTAGTAAAAAGCATACCTTTTATAGAAATTCAGAACGGATCACAGACCTAACCCTAAAGTAACACACAATGCTATAAAACTCGATGCATGGATTAGAGATGGTATCTCACACAACACCAAGCACAGTCCACAAAAGAAACAGCCAATGGGCTGATGTAAACAGAACTTGTGCTCTGCCAAAAGCATCGGCAAGGGGTGAACGTGACAAGTCACTGAGCGGGAGGAAAGCCTGCAGCGCACACATCTGGAGAAGGACTGTGTCAAAATACAGACATGCCTAGCTCTGGTTTCTGTCTGAACAGACACCTCAAGCAACAAAACATGCATGAAGAGACAGTCCACATCATGCGTCATTAGAAAACTGCGTTACGACAAGACACCATTTCAGACCTCCTGGAATGGCCAAGAGCCCAAACACCAACCATGCCAAGAGCTGGTGGGGGCCAAGGGGAGCAACAGGACGTGCTCCTTCATTGCTGATGGGAAGACAAAGGCATGGCCAGCTCGAAGCACCAGTCAGCAGTTCCTTACACGGCTCATCACAATCTTGCCATGTATTGCCCAGCAGTGTATCCTGAGGCCTTTGCAAGATCTGCACACTCCAGTTCTCGCACGTGAGCGTTCCTAACAGCTCTGTACTCGCAACTGCCAAAACCTGGATGCACCAAGAAGCCCTTCAGTAGGTGAATGGATACGCACATGGGTTTATCCCAAGGGATATTCTCAGCACTAGAAAGAAATGAACGTCTATGGGACGGGAAAGGACAGGCGCCCTACTGCTGAGTCAAGGCGCCTTTTACAAAGGCTGCAAACCATGAGATCCCAGCAGCATGTCGTTCTGGAGAAGGAACAGCATTAGACCCAGGAAGCACGCTGGTGGTTGCCAGGTAGAGGAGGACAAGCCTGGGGCCTCCTGAGGAGCTGACACTGCCATGGTGGATACCATGCATTCATCAAACTTCACAGATGGCACAATGCACAGTGAACCTCATCGCACTGTTCCAGCTGACGATGATGTAAACATCGGCTCATCAGTTCCAATGAGTGGGATGTGACAATGTGTCAACAACAAAACAGCACGGGGCTGGAGGTCTCCGACTCCAGTCAGTCCAGTGTCATACAAAACTAAAACTGCCCCAAACATAACATCTAGTCCACTTTTAAATCATGAGACTGTACACTGAGACCTGTGTATTTTACTACATAAATTTTATATTACAAAAATATAAACTGTCTTTTAAGTGAGGCTCTTGAGGGAACTGATACTGGACCGATCAATACAACTTCGGAGCCCCAACCAGGGCCGCCCTCGTGGCTGCCTTTCAGCCAGACCTGCCCAGGCACAGCGCCTGTGGCTGAGGCCCAGCTACAGAAAGCAGCCAGGAAGATTGTTTTATCCTTTTCTTGATGGGGGCAGGGGACTTGAGATTTTTAAATTTTTTATGCATTTATTGACTTATTTTGTCTCCATGTGATGTGGTATGTGGGAGGGGGGTTGGGTGTACATGCCCCCACATATAGGTGGATGTCAGAGGACAACTTTTAGGGAGTCAATCCTCTCCTTCCACTATGTGAGTTCTGGGGCTCAAACTCAGGTTGTCAGACTTGGTGTTTTCTGACATTTAATTCTAATCTTGGACAACAAACAGGGAACTTACTGTTGTGCATACGGATCCCGCAGACCATCTGGGTGGGCTCCTGCTGTGTTTTTAAGGCGTTTATGCCCATTCTCCCATTCCCTTCCTTTTGTTAATTTGTCCTGTTCTCTTTTTTTAACCCTATACTTCTGTCTTAAAATATTTTATTATTTTCATTTTATGTGTATGAGTGTATTGCCTGCATGTATGTGAGTGCACCCGTGTCATGCAATGCTGCGGAGGTCAGAAGAGGGCTTCAGATTTCCCTGGACGGTTCGTAGCTGCCATGTGGGTGCTAGGAATCGAACCAGGTCCTCTGCAAGAGCAGTCAGTGCTCTTAACTGCTGAGCCATCTCTCCAGCCCCATGATTTTTCTTTTATGTGCATGAGTGTACTGCCTGCATGTGTGTAAGTGCACCCATGTCATACAATGCCTGCAGAGGTCAGAAGAGGGTGTCAGATCCCTTAGAACTGGTGTTAGGGATGGCTGTTAGCCACCATGTGGGTGCTGGGAATTGAACCCAGGTCTTCTGCAAGAGCAGTCAGTGCTCTTAACCACTGAGCCACCTCTCTAGCCCCAACCCTATACTTCTTGAGCTGAACAATTAGACCGCTTTCTTAAAGGATTTGCTTCCTTTTACCCCCATCAGCTTGCACAGGCCACTATAAGCACCATTTGACTTGCATCCTGTCCTTTTGAGATGCAACAATATTTCCTTATTTGATTTGAAATAATTAGCCACTTTTATTTTGATTTTTTCACTGACTCATTATTAGAAGTTTGTTTTAAAGCTGTTGCTGCTGTTGTTGCTTTTTAATAGCAGTTCTGGGCTGGTGAGATGCTCAACAGTTAAAAGCACTGGCTGCTCTTGCAGAGGACCCAGGTCCAGTTCCCAGCACCCACATGGTGGCTAACAACCATCTGTAACTTCTGAGGGCATTGTACGCACATGTTGCACTTACAAACGTGAGGGAAAAACACTCACATACATAAAATAAAAATAAATTCAAAAAAATCTTTTTAAAAAAATAGCAGTTCAGAGAGTTTGTGGGGAGAAAAATAGCAGATTTCTGACCTGAGCATTAGAGTCAGAGACTACATAAAATTCAATTTAGCACTGATTCTCTTGCAGAAGGTGATTTTTTATTGCTGATTTTTAGGTTAGCATACAAAGTTCATGGTTTACTGTGGCATTTTCACACACATGTTGCTATGCTTTGTTCTCACTCTCTAAGCTCACACGTTCTCTAAGAGCCGTCTTTTTACCCTGTATTTTGTAATGCCCCCACTCTGCCTGAGAGGCACGTGGGAATCAGTCACCTGTGCCCGCCCGAGGCTTGTCCCTCCCACTCAGCCCTGCACTGTTTCCTACCCAGCTTGGGCTGCCTGTGTGACGGCCTCTCGGGTTTGGCATCACTTCCCCCAAACACTACCCTTGACCACCATTTCACCCTCCTTCACTGCCAACACAGGCCATGGTGCAGAGGTCAGAGAACAACTCGCAGGAATCGGGTCTCTCCTTCCACATGAGTCCCAGGGAACAAACTCAGGTCGCCCATCATAGCTGAAAGCTCCTTTCCCACTGAGCCATCTCACCTGCCTGAGACCTCACGTCTGAGCAAATTATGTTTTAAAACGATGATGCATGTATTTGAAGCAACTTTAACACTGGCTAGATATATCTGATGGTATTCAGGAATTATTCTTTAATTTTAGATGGTATTATATTACTGAGTCTACATTTTTTGAAAACAACTCCTGAGTCGGGAGCAGGGCTATGTAAGGAACTGTTTGTAAATGGGATTTAATCAGGCTGCCTCAGAGACCCTGAGCACAGTCAGCCGGCTTGTATACAAACCAGTCAGTCACTCCCCGTCTCAAGCTCTATACAGCAAGGTGCTCACAGCACACCTCTTTTAATAATGACATTTACACACAGAGCTTAGCGTGAGCATTCTTGCATCAACCACTTACCAGTGTCAAAGGAGCCATCTTTATTAATGGGAACGAGGACGTGGGACAGGCAGCCAGAGCTGGTCTTCCCTGTCCCATCTAGCCTGACCAGCCGCAGCCGCGGTGTCGTCTCGGGTGGGAAGCGGTAGAACTGGAAGGTGAGATACACGGTCTGTGGCCACGGTGCTCCTGGGCAGTCCTGGGCCGCTCTGAATGCAACAGCACAGGATTAGTCGGGCGTCCACAGTGGAGCTCCCAGAATGCACCACACACTCACCCAGGGACAGTCCAGGTCAAGTGGTCACTGAGGCTGGGGAGAAGGGCTGCCTTAGCCATGGCCAAGCAGAGGTTTACTGTGCTCCCTGTGGGCAGCTGGAAGGCAGCCACTCCAGACACAGTGACCCTCCTGGCTGAAGGTGAGTTCTCAGAACTACACCAGCTTCTGAGAACCAGGCAAACAAGCCATGCTTTAATCTGCTGCAGATTGGGCCTCCAGCACTTAGAATGGCTCCGGGTGAGTCCCAGCCAGAATAAAGTAGAAACAGATGGCAGTTCCAAGATTCCCAACATGAGCAAACAATCAATGTTTAAGACAGAAGATGAAAACGCTAATTACTCTGATTTAGCAGTTACACACCATATACAGGTATCAAATTATCACACTATACCTCATAAAGACACACAATTATTATGGGTATCAATTAATTTAGAAAACATATGGCACTGCTTAAGCTAGCAAGCCCCGAACACAGAGCGCTGCGCAGGCCAGATCCTTGTGAGGGAGCCGGGGAGCGTGCAGGAGGCAGCGAGAGACTCTACCTGCTGAAGGCAAGAAACTGCAGCACAATCTCATTGCCTTGCAGATGGTCCGACTCCTCCTTCTGAGGGCTGAACCTCACAGGATCTACGGGATCGACGGCTTCGGCCGGCTGCTGACTGGCATCAAGAATCTCTGGGAAACCAGAAGACTGCAGGACAGCCATCGCGGCTCTGGAGAGGTGGCTTCTAGAACTAAAACAGAAAGACCCCTCAGGCCACCTCCTAAGCAGAGTCAGTCTGTCCAAGCCTCCCCTCCCCCACCAAGCCTCACCTCAGGGTCTGGGCTCCCACTACAATGGGGGCGTGCAAAGGAGCGAAGGGCAGCTCCTGCAAGTGCTCGCCAGCAGGCGTCCCCAGGACCAGGGAAGTCTGGCTCAGGTCAGCTTCCAGGTGAGAGACCCTGCCCTCCAATCGGGACTCCTGCTGAACAAAACCAGGGCTCCAGTGAGGGTAGCGAAGACCCAGCCAACAACAGATCGGAAAGCTCCTCAGAGCTAACGGCTACGTTTTAATTTCGGTAAGTAGACACTAAATTTAGTGCGTGTCTGTGCTTTTATATGAAGTTCAAGTTAACTGGCCGTCCCTGTTTTATGTAGGAAGAAGGAAGAAGCCACAGTTTTATGACCACGGGACATGCGTGCCAAGACACCCTGCGGAACACGTGACTCTGAACACTGCAGCAGAGGTCATGCTCCCACTTGGTCTCCAAGATAGAATGGCAGCCACTGTCAGAGGCAGGAAGCCAGGCAACACCCCCATCCCACAGTCCAGGTCACAGGGAAGCCCGAGGTCCCTGTCCCCTATCCAACTGGGCACCAGGCTTCCTACCCATCAGGAAGTGCTGAGCCCATGAGGTAGAGGGCGAGCAGGGGCAGGGGAGCCCACTTACTGCCTGGAGCTGGGGGGCCTCCGGGGACCGACGGCTGTCTAGGGGCTGAGGAGGGGGCTTGGCAGAAACACAAGGAGCCAGGGACTGTGGGGAGGCCGCCAGCTGGGAAAGCGACAACTGCAAAGCAAGAGAACCTGGGTGAGACGCTCCACACGTGCCAGTCAATTCACAGAGCCTCCAACACGTGTGTACACATGGCACACCCACAGATGCCCAAGAGGAAGGCCAACTAGTCTGACGTGACCATGACGACCACGACGGAGTGGAGTCATGTCAGCACCCTCCCGCCAGCGCTGGCCGCTGCCCTGCTCTTCTAAACGCAAGGCCTGAGGCTGTGATCTCTCCCACGTCACAACCTGAATCACAGCATAACTCACGATGGAGAAGCGGGTGAGGATGAGAGTCAGCTGGCCTTGTACCCTCCGGCTTTGCTCCTGTCCTAGACTGGTACCTCCAAAGCCCCCAAGTGCCCATACCACTGCCCACTGAGCCTCCCCGCCAAGACAGTGACCACACTGGGTGGCAGAGGAGGCTCCAGGGACGGGCTTGCCACCCCTACCTCCTTTTGCTCTCGTCTTCTCCCCAAAGTGGAGCACCGTGAGAAGCACACGTGCACTCACAGGAGGCCTCGGCTTAGAACTCAGCGTGTGGTAAGCCTGTGGTAAGGTCTGTGTTCACGTGTGGAGAATGAACAGCACTATAAAAAGGCTGGGGTGGGGGCGGGGCCTGTGCCGCCCTGAAGCGCGTGCCTCACGACTGGACTCTATTTCCAGTGCACACCGCCTGTGGGGTGGTCACCACCTGCAGGGACAGCAGGCTGAGAGGAGGGAGCAGGCGGACTGGGGAGGGGCAGGTAAGGGCAGGAGCCGGGGACACCTGGGAGCAAGGTGGGTCTTTGGTCCATTCAGCTCCTTCACATCCCACAAGGTGTGGTGAACCATCACTGCTCCATAGCCCTTGAACACTTACAGGTGATATGGAAACCACTCGGGGGACATGCTGGACCAGGCCAGGAATGAGCCCACAGACTTCGCCTCGGGTCCAGCTTCCAAACTATTCTGCAGCAGAGCTGCAAATGACAGCTTTCCCAGGAAGTCAATGAACAGGTGACAGAGTCTGGTGTCACCAGGAACAAGCCAACTCTGACCTCACTGAGAACCACATAGCCGACGCCATCAGGGCCACAAAGGAACACCTTGGGCAACGTGGGATTCAGGAGGCACAAACAGGAAGAGGAGCACCCCAGTTTCAATGACCCAGCCAGAAAGAGCCCTTCTTTCCACACAGGGCGGGAAGTTCTATCCTGCGCAGGCACATGTCACCTGACCCTAAGCAGTCCAGATGTCCTGCCTCAGTCAGCTGTGGCCCAGAGTCCACTAGCACCAGCCGCTCGGCCCACAGGGCCAGCTGCTGCCTGCTCTCTGTGCCACTCTGGGGAGGGGTGAAGGCCAGGTCTTGGTGTTTGAGGCAGTCAGTGGCACTGGCCCAACCAGCCTTGCCATCGGGAGAATGTGGTGTTTCCACAAGCCCCAGATGGCAAGGTGGAGGATCACTACCAATGGATAGGAAGCCACCAGGCTGACAGCTTGACCTGTGAGACAGCTAGTCAGGGTCAGGCCTCAGGACAAGGCCGGGGGGGGGTCCAAAGCCATCCCAACCCCACATGCAGATGGGACTGCTGGCTTTTAAAGAGGCAGAGTCCTTAGTCAGGCCCTCACTCTAGCATTCTGAAGTGACCCCGCTGGGCCTGGACTTACCCCTGGTCCCACAGGTGAGTCCTGGGTGGCAGCAAGACCCCGAGCCACTGGCGCTGGTGTGCCTGGCGTGGAGAGCAAAAGGGCATCAGCCTCTGCAGGGCAAGAACCTAGGACACCAGCAGAGACACTACAGTTCTCTACTCTGTCATCTGTCCAAAGCTGGGCAGCTTGCATAAAACATGGCCCACGCAGCTCATCTGAGCGTGAAGGGATGGGAGTGAGTGTCACTGCCCCCCAACCTCCCCCACCTCCTC